CTCACAAACGCTGCTTTATCAGGCATATAACATGCAAGATGAAATGAAAATGACATCGAAAATTTTCTAAAGCTAGACTTCCTTCAGAAATACAGTGATATAAAAACACCCGCACCTCGTTATGATTACATGCTCATGTTTATTCAACGAAGCCTTTTGGAAAATCCGTGAGTTTTTATATTGTGGCGAGCGCCACAAATAAATAAATGTATGGGAAACACATCCCACAGCACAACCACCTGAGCCCAACTTCAGCCTACTCATCACCTTAACTTTAACTGTGTTTGTAGCCAGCGCCATAGCCAGACTGATAAACAAACACAGATCGGAAGTTAACTTCAGGCCAGGCGCGTGCACCCAATGAAACCGTCTATATAAAGCTTGAAGCATCAGAATCGGCATTGGTATCGGCCGATCACCGTGACAAGAAATCGGTACTCAGTATCAGCTGCAAAAATCCCGATCGGAGCATCCCTAGTAAATAGCATATCGTTTAAAAAATACTGCTATTTTCACTTAGGCTACGTTTACACTAACTTTTGTTTTTAAAACGCATAACTTTTGCTACGGTTACGCCTGTCGTTTACACTACTCCGGCGTTTACTTTTGAAAATGCTGCAGACCCCGTTTTAGTTTGAATTCTCCGGGGTTGCGTTTCAGTGTAAACGGACCTAAACGGAGACTTTTGAAAATGGTGACGTGGCTGCCCACATTCGCTCTGCGTATCCTTGACGACCGTGTAAACAATACCATCATGCTCATTGTTGTACCCATAGATATGTATAGGTAGATTCCTCATTCGACCGCTCCAAGCACATAGACTCGTCCACCATCTAAATAATAGGACATCTACCTATACATATCTTGTACCTGCATGAATGGTCATGTGACATGCGTTTTCGGTTGTGTAGTGTGGACGGAGATCATTTCTGAAACGCAGTGAAAACGCCAGTGTAGACAAGGATCGTTTTTATTTTAAAACGCTGTTTTAAAACGAAAACGCACTAGTGTAAACGTAGCCTTAGTGTAAATAGAACAGTGTAAATAGAATCCATATTATTATTATTATTATTATTATTATTGTCCAGAAGTAACACTGTGACCTTAAAATAGCAATTTTTTAGTTGTTGTTTTTCCTATGACTTACATAAATCACCAAAATCAGAATGGGAAAACATGGAAGGCCCAACGAGGGCTTCAACGATGATCTTAGCAGACGTGCCAAACTGTCCTCAACTCCACAAGCTGACGCGCACTGATGCAGGCACAACTGAAGCCATCACAGACACACTGTCTGTCAGATCTGCTCTCATCCCTGATCTCCAGTGTCCAGTCCCAGCCGGATTCTTCCTGCTGACAGGAACGCTGATTAGTGTAAATAAGTGCTAAAGACTCCTGCTCTGACTCTCTTCAGCTCAAATGAGATCAGATCACAGACTTAGACACCTGATCTGTGTTGCCCTGCATGTCTTGGGAGCAGAGAAGCGTTTAACAGTGATTGTGAGCGTGTTACAGGCGTGCACAACTAGTGAATGATACATCCAGGTCAAGTCCTTCCTTTTATACAAAATAAGGACAGATAAGAGAGTTTGCATTCAGGACAAACAGGATTCCAGCTCACAAACCTGTTCACAGTATTGGAAAGCAGCTGATAAGCTGTTGATCCTGGACACAATAAGGCCACATACATTCATCAGCTTTAACATGAGCTCTAGTGTTACTGTATAAGCAACAAACTTCAGTACTCAAGATTGCAACAGTTACCCACAAATATCTGTGCAATTAAACTAGACATGTTAAGGTAGCTATAAACATGTTGAAAGTTTTAACTTGTTACAACTTTAATTAACATGCTCAGCAAGATTCAGATTTGCTCCAGGCTGACACAATGTGTGTTGCAGAGGAAATCTACATTGCATTTTTCCAGTTTCGTGGAATTCAATCTCTGTCAGATGTACAGAGGTTTTGTTTAAATAAAGTAACAGCATATTTGCCTATTTAATATAATCATATTTTGAAATCTTTCTTTATTTAAACCTTCCACTAGTGACTGCCCTTATCTGTGACATTATAGCTATAACTTCACTGTGAATTTTTTTTTTTTTTAATTGTTGATTTAGATATTTATTATTTATTTTATTATATTTAGTTTTATTTTATCATGTTATATTTTGTAATATTTATTAAATTACATGAATTTATTTATTTACATTTTTATTTTATTTTTATTATTATTTTTTACACAGATACTTGTAAATGACAGTCAATGGAGAAAGATGCTTTTTGAAGTCAGATGTAGTTATGAATCTATCAGCCAACAGGGCCAAACCTTGACCCCTTTAACACGTGTACTTGCACATATGTTCTTATTATTATAATATATTTTTAGTATATTTAAGCCTTAATGCAAGTGTATTAGTCTACATCTTATGAATATTGATTACTCTGCAATATTCATGACTGTACCATTTATCGAAAGCAGTAGCTGTGCATGTTTAGATGACATGAAAGGATATTGACTTTGTCTTGCATTATACTTCACAACTCTTCGTTTTTCATCCAAAACAAGTGTGAGAAACTCAGGAGATGCCAACAGCACTTAGAGTGTGTTCTCCCTATCTGTGACTGCCTTGAGCAATGATGCAACCATTCTTCCCTAGAGCAGGTTATGACAGAAACACATTCCACACAATCTGGCATATGACGTGTTTTTACCTATGTTGTTTATATAGAAAACGTCTATGAGAAGCCCAAAGAGACTTGTCTGTTTGCTATATGTGGCAGTTCATTGGTAACTAGCCAAATATTTAAGTCATCCTGAGGTGAGGTTATGTGAGGTATCAGATGTCAAGCAAACACTTTCTTTATGGGTGTTGTCAGTAAAGTCCAGCAAATTAGAAACAAGTACGTGTTCACAAGACTCAAGAGCATGTCAAGTGTTCCTCTAATTTCATTCAGGTTTTTGTTTGAAAACAATATATATGTATACTAGGGCTGCACGATTAATCGAATGCGATTGTCATGCGCATTTTGTTAAAAAAGCCGGTTCTGTAATCAGCAGGAAATCATCATCACGTGCTTTCAGATGGAGCAGAATTTACTACACATGGCCGTAGTTAGTTGACAAGTTACGCAAAAAAAATTGAAAGATACACATGACAATCGCAGCTTCTGTCGAATCGCGATCTCGATTCCATTTCGATTTATCGTGCAGCCCTAATGTATACATAGGAATTTTTATGTTTTTCATGTTTTAATGAAGTCTCTGAAGATGTTCTATTGTAATATATTTAAAAATGTAACTTATCAATGTGATGCAAAGCTGAATTTTCAGCATCATTACTCCAGTCTTCAGTGTCACATGAACCTTCCACAAAATATTAAGCAGGAAAAACTGTTTTTAACTTTTATTATGAATAACCATTATTAGCACCAATAATAATTGAGGAGCAAATCAGCATATTAGAATGATTTCTGAAGGATTATGTGACACTGAAGACTGGAGAAATGCTGAGTAATTCAGCTTTGCATCGCAGGAATAAATTGCATTTTAAAATATATTCAAAAAGAAAATAGTTATTTTCTAATTACAATATTATTTCACAATTCTGACATTGAGAAAACAAATTGCACATAAAATGGCTTGTCAGGAAGGTCTAACTAGGATTTTTGCAGATGCTATGAGCTCAAATATCAGCAGGCCTTCATAACATTTAATGCTCTTGCTTGAATGCCTGGGGCACACTATAGAAGACAGTCCCCATGGTAACCAACACAACAGCCAGATTTTCCATGGCAACCAAAGCACCACAGGGATACAAATGTGAGCAGAAAACACAAAACTGAAGAACAAAGACTGTTTTTGTCTTCCACACATTAAACATTTAAACAAATCTGACAAATCTTCTTTGGTTACAGTAGACCAATAATAGTGCAAGAAGTCTCTTATGGTCACCCAGGCTGCATTTAGTTAATCAAAAATACCATAAAACAGTAACATTGTGCAATCACATTTTATTACAATTCAAAATCACAGCATATTAGAATGATTTCTAAAGGATCATGTGACACTGAAGACTGGAGTAATGATGCTGACAATTCAGCTTTGCATCACAGGAATTTACATTTTAAAATAGATTAAAATAGAAAACAGTTCTTTTAAATTGTAATAATATTTCACATTACTGTATAATAAATCAACTAAATGCAGTCTTTCTGAGCATAAGAGAATTCTTTCAAAAACATTTTTAAAAAATCGTACACATTTCAAATTTTTGACCGGTAAATATATATAAAAGTGAAGTATATAGGCCTATAGTATATAAAAGTATAGTGATCATTAAGCTAAGATTATGACTTTATTCTGTATTTTTTACATATTACCATCATTAAAGCATGTTTAAATTGAATTATAAAATTAACGCAAAACTGAATCCATGTTTCATGTTTAATTATGTTTGCGACTTATTTTGGCGATTATTTTCTGTGGCATTAAATTGCAATATGAGTGGCATAACTGAAACAAACGATATACAAAACGGAAAAGTTTTCCTGTGCGTTTTTGAAAAGATTCGCGTAAAGAGACGATCCCATTCACAAGGATCCACGTAAACGACTAAAAACGTTGTACTATGCATGCCAGGCTTAGTAGACGATTTAGGCAAATTTGTGTTTTTGTAGTTTACGCAGAGACGGTAACAGTATTGTTTTCAAAACCTTGCACTTTGAAACCCGTTTTCAAAAGTCTGCGTTTTCAGGCCCCAAACGCTGTTGTCGTGTACTGTAAGTAAATGGCCAAACACATAAAAGGTTTTCCCTTTTTAGTTGAAAACGGTGTTGTGTAAACACTCCCTTTGAAGCCACCATATGTGACCCTGGACCACAAAACCAGTCTTAAGTCGCTGGGGTATATTTTTAGCAATAGCCAAAAAAACAT